ACTAGAGTGTCCCACAAAGTGTCCTACAAGAGTGTCTCACAGAGTGTCCGACAAGAGTTTCCCATAAGAGTGACCACAAGAGTGTCCTACGAGAGTGTTCGACAAGAGTGTCCCGTTTGAGTGTCCCGCAAGAGTGTCCTACTAGAGTGTCCCACAAGAGTGTCCCACAAGAGTGTCCCAGAAGACTGTCCCACAAGAGTGTCCCACAAGAGTGTCCCGTAAGAGTGTCCCACTGGAGTCATTTGTAGCTTTTCGAACGTGTCTGCGTTCGGGTTCGTGGGCTCCTTCTTGTTTTTTTTAAGTGAAGAACAACCACCACCTTTCTTGATGAACGCACGCGTGAGAGAACGCACCGAGCCTAGCAACACACATGAACTTACGGTCTGAATGCCTCATACCACTCACAAACCTAGGTGAAAAAATTGCCTGAGAAAAACAGGTAACATGTAAAGTGGTCTGACTACCTCAAAGTGTTCGAGGGTATCAAGGTATGACGTCAAAAACATTCCACGTGTACGAAGTTCCAAAACTCGAAAGACTGCGAATGCACATTTGTCAATGAAGAACCGAAACCATGGCTGGAAGTCTTCTTGTAGCTACAAGCACGGACCATAAGGAAGTGATCGGTGAACATCTTCGCGCAGGTATGTGCAATCTGCATTCAGATTGCATATCACAGCAAACTTGAAGTGTCTTTGCCGAGCGGTGACTTCAAGAATGCCCACCACTCCCCTGCTTTCCACGTAGAAAACATTGCAAGAATACGTACCGATAGGTAACCTCAAGATCCAGGGCCTACACATATGAGAACATGCGCATGAGAGCACACGCGCTCAGGATCAAGTACGTACGGTCTAATTGCCACTTTGCCTGACCACCTAGGTGAAAAAGTTCCGGGGTAAAGCGGGCGCAACGGAGTTCAAGCAGGAACAGAAGCTCCAATTCATCAGGAAAGAAACAATAGTAGCAAAGCTTGATCGTCAAGTGCAAGGCGGTCCAACCATCTCAAACGAGTATCAAGGTAAAGCGAGTTCCAAGATACCAGGAACGTTGCAAAATTGAAGATGCGTACCTGCGGAGCTCCAATGCCACCTAAGCAGCCTCTTCACTTGAGGAGAGCGTGGTCACCGAACATCACAACCATTTCGAAAGCAGGTGCAAAAGTTGGTGTCCCAACTCTCTTCCAACTGATTCCGTAGCTTTGTTGGCACGGATAGGAAATCAGTCTCCGTGCGCCCTGCTTGCATTTCAAAAAAGACAAACCAAAAAGCTTCCCTATGATTCCCAGGGTTACACAAAAAGAGCACACGAGTCGAAAAACCTGCTTGCACTGACCACATACATTTGGGTTTCTTGTGTTTGCAATGATACGTTGTAGTCGTTTGCCATACATGTTTTTCTGCAGGCAAACATCTTCTGCCAATGCCAATGCCAATGTACCATGTCGATCCTGTACTCTGTGCCGTCAGTGTTGTCCATCAGTTTTTTGAGTGAAAAGGGGGTTGTTGGTGCCGGGAGGTTGCATATGTATATACATATATATATATATTGTATTATATTGTTACTTTCAAATATACAATGAACCCCGGTTATGGATCCCTCCCCATGGCTCTATCAGGACCAGGATTCCTTCCGTTGCGCGCCGCTTCAAGTGGCAGCATACCATGGTCACCTGCCAGTGGTGCAGCTCCTCTTGCAGAGGAGGGCCAAGGTTCATGCAGTCGGAGAAAGTGAAATGCGCTGGCAGGCACTGCACCTTGCAGGTCTGGAAGGACACAAGGACATCGTTGAATTTCTGTTGCAAAGCAGGGCAGACTGTGACCAAAAGGATACCTTTGGCCGGACGGCACTGGAATTGGCCAAGAGCGAAGCTGGCAAACACTTGATAACCTACGGAGCACGCGATATCCACAAGTTCAAGGAGAACCTGGTGGTGATATTGCAGAGAGAAGGACATGATGCAACTGACATTGTGAGGTCGTTGCTTGTAGAAGCAGTGGCAGTGAGTAGAAGACAGGATGACGATCCAAAGGGTCTGGCCTTCGAATATTGGACCCAAAAGGCTCCGTTGGCCGAACGTCTCCATGTGGTTTTGTCGGAGTGCTACAGGTCCAAGGACCCCTTGAGACGAGGTTCCCTGAAGGCCACAGAGGAAACCAGAGTTCTCCTCGAGAATTTGAAACTGAGAGAACTTGCCGGTCAAAATCTTCTACATACTCCCGAGATCAAGGTTCAGCTTAAAGTTCTGCAATACCTTGATGCCTCGTTAGCTTGTGACATTGACCTTCTGCGTGCATTGGCAACGACAGCCAATGAGGACACACTTGCAACTGATACGGTGACGGCCATCATATCAGCTGCTTGGCTGCAAACACGAGGTCGAGTGATTGCAGAGATCATGTTGAATGGCATCAATGTCATTTTGCTGTGCTACGTCTCCTTCGGCTTTCGAAACCAAAAAGGGTCTGCGCCGTTGGTCGTTTTGAAAGTGCTGATCTGCATTCACATGAAGATGGTGCTTGAGGAGCTTGCCCAGCAATTAGAAGCATTGGGAATTAGAGTGCAGCTCCTATGGACTCGACGATCAGAGAAAGGTTGGATAGCTCTGCCTCCATTTTTGGATGTTGACAACCTTGCAGATTTAGCCTACCAGGTTGTCGGTTGCGTTGCACTCTTCAGACAGCTTGATCATGCAGGTTTGGAAAAGCCTTTCATGGCGATCTTTTCGGCTTGTGCTTGGCTTCGATTTTGCTCGACTTTGCGAGGGGAGCCTTGGTTTGGGCTCCGAATTTTGCCAATTATTTCAGCTCTCAGGGACACAGTGGGATTCTTTTTCTTCGCATTTGTTTGTGTTTGCGCTGCCACCCATGCATACTACAACCTACAAGTACGTGATGAGGATTATCCCATCTATGATGCCTTCTTGCAAGTGGTGAGGCTTGGGCTTTTCGCAGATTTTGACCTCTTTGAGTTTCAGGGCACAGACCCGATCTTCAAGCAGAACAATGCTCAGTGGGAGCCAGAGGACCCATCTCCCAAAGAAATGGGCGACGATTACATCTACATTCATATCATCTTCTTTGGCACTGGAATTTGCATTACGATTCTATTGATGAATCTGTTGATTGGGGTCCTTGGCAGCAACTTTGATCTCTACCAAGACCACGCTCCGCAACTCTTCAACCAGGCTCGAGCCAAATTCTTATTGGAGATCCGGAGCCGTCCCTTTGGAAGGTGCTTAGGGTGGTTGAGACGACGGTCAAGCGGACCGGCATGGGTGGGGCAGTTGGCTTCCTGTGTCTATGCCATCGGTTATTGTCTCCAGGCATTCTTTCACTTGGTTCTGATTCTTTGCACTCTCCCACTGTTCTGCTCTTTAGTCTTGTTCTGCAGTTGGAGTGGCCTTTGCCTGACGTTTGTAAAGCTTGTGGAGGGAGCCTTTGGTCGGTCCACCGAAGGCTGTTACATTTGGGTGCTTCAGCGAGAAGAACCAGAGGAGCTACGAAGTATTCATGCATTGGTGAAGGAGCAAATTAATGACGTGAAAAAGACTCAAGAGGAAAGGTTTGCAGAAATTGACTCCAAATTGAGCAGATTGACACAGCTAGTCGAAAACAAGAGCGTGAATCGGGGAAGCTCAAAGGTGAGTCCACTCCTCACTCCACAAGCTCCCAAGAGCCCACAGAGCGCGGCTCAAGCTCGTATGAGCTCTTTTGTGCCGCGGATGGGCTAGTTAGTTGCCGAGCCCATCAGCTCAAGCTTTCAGCCTGCTAAGCACGGCTTCAAGCTGTGAGATGGTCTAAGCGATTCGGAATCCGAAAACAACATTGCAAGATTGTGCAAATTTTCCTGTTTAGGCAGGTATGTAGTGTTGTTTTGCACTGCTTTGGGTCTGGGTTTGTTCGTCTCTTGCCGCACCTTGCCTCCAGGCTCAAGGGTTCAAGAAGGGGTCTAGTGCTGTGGAACG